GCTAAAACCTCACCCGAAAGAGAAAAAAAAAGAGGAGAAAACGCTAATATCTCTCAAACCGTGAGGAATTTAGCGAAACGGAGGCGGCAAACCCCATTTGGGGTTTGGTTGGCCCCGTCTTGTCGAGATAGGCGATTTTCATATATAATTCGTCTAATTCCGAGTTACGCTTTAAAAGTTACGACCTGTTCTTAGTAACATGTTCTGGAGCTCGCCTGAAGAGCAACCCCTCTTGCAAAGGAGTTTAGCTCGCCTAAAGGCTTCAAGCTTTAAGCTCGCCTAAATGAGGTTGGCTCGCCTGCACAGCCTCTCCTACCAAGCCTGCCTGCATATTTGAATCTCGCATGCACAAGGCAAGCTCGTCCGACAGTTGGGAGCTTGCCTGCATGACCCAAGCTCGCATGCATGCTTGAAGTTCGCCTGCATGATCCAGCCTCGCCTGCACAACCTCGCCTCCAAAGCTCGCCTGACAACTTGAAGCTAGCCTGCATGATCCAGGCTCGCCCGAAGGCAAGTTCTCCTGCACAGCCTAGCCTACAGAGCTCGCCTGACAGCTTGAAGCTCGCCTGCATGATCCAGGCTCGCTTGAATGCAAGCTCGCCTGATAGCTTGAAGCTTGCATGCATGATCCAGCCTCGCCTGCACAAGCTCGCCTGCACAGCCTCGCCTGAATGCTAAGCTCGCCTGCACAGTCTTGCCAGCTCGCCTAGCCTGTCAGCCGCCCACGTGAAGCATGAGAGCAGTCAAATCCCTTGAATTAAGGGATTAGTTATCCTCATGATCGTACCCAGCACGTGAATAGTTATTTCCCATGATTTAAGGGATTTGGTCATGATTCTCCTCATGGCCATACTCAGTATGGGAATGGTCACTTCCCATGATTTAAGGGAGTGATTACACTCTCCTTCTTTATAAAAGGCCATGAGCAGCCATAGAAAAAGGGTCTTAGGACCCAACCTCTTTGAGGATGAATTACAGAGAACTCAAGACCATCTTGGACTCGAGATCAGCCTTGTTCCAGGCACGCCGTCGGCGGAGTCTTGGTCTTTGGAGATCGGACTTCTTGTCATTCAAGAAGATCGAATTCTTGGCATCCTCGGCCTACAAGCACTTGTTTGGTCTCGGTTGATCGAACTCATCCAATCAAGCTTCTACTGTGTACTGAAGCTTCAAACACTTGTTTAGCCTCTGTTGATCGAACTCACCCAATCAAGATTCTACTGCGTATTGAAGCTTTCCCGCAACTTCGATCGGATCGTCCAAGGGAAGCAAACTCGGCACGAGCACCGAGGGAGGCGTCCTATCGTTACCAAAGACCCCACGTTAAACAAGGAGGTTATTCCTTCCGCTTCTGTTGTAACTTTAATTCATTAGTTTGTAGTAAGCTATTCTTATCAATACAAACGAAGTCTCCATTTCGGGAGATTAAATTTTACACTCTACACTATAATTTTGTGCTATTTTTAGTCCTTTCGCCCATTGGTAAATAATTTCGTGGTGTTAAAAATTCATGTTTTCATGTGATATCCATAATTTTTTATCAATTTGTGTTCATTTAGATCCAAGGAAAATTTTTTTGTAGGGCTAAAATTTACGATTTTATGAGCTTTAACTTACGACTTTTTTGCCAATTTTAGCCATTTTGATGCATCGGTAAAAAATTTCGCGATGGCTAAAATTCTAGATTTCTTGAGATATAACCTCCATTTTTGCCATTTCTAGTCGTTTTGACCCATAGGCAAATAATTTGCGGTGACCAAAATTGACGATTTTGTGAGCAATAAGCCATGATTTTTGGCCATTTTAAACCATTTTGACCAATTGAATAATAATTTTGCAGTGGTCAAAATTTTTGATTTCATAAGCTATAACCCAAGATTTTTGGCCTTTTTTATTCATTTCGACCCATTGGAAAATAATTTTGTAGTGATCAAAATTAGAGATTTCGTAGACTATAACCCAAGATTTTTAATCATTTTTAGTCGTTTCAACTTGTTAGCGAATAATTTCATAGAGTTTAAAATTCACGGTTTCATGATCTAACCCACAAATTTTTTTCTATTTTTAGTCATTTTGACCAATTAGCATAAAATTTTGCATAGTTTAAAATTTACGATTTCATGAGCTATAACCCATGACTTTTGACCATTTTTAATCATTTCAGATATTTAGTAAATAATTTTACTGTGGCTGAAATTTATGAATTCGTAAGCTATAGTCCATGACTTTCGGTCATTTTTTGGTCAATTTCATAAGCTATAACCTATGAATTTTGGTCATTTTTAGTCAATTCGACCAATTGGATAAATAATTTTGTAGTGTAAAAAATTCTAGATTTTTTGAAGTATAACCCATGATATCATAAGTTATAAGTCATGATTTTTTACCATTTTTATTCATTTTGACTCATTGGCAAATAATTTATTGTAGTCCAAAATTCATGATTTTATGATCTATGAGTTATGATTTTGGCCAGTTTTAGTCATTTTGACCATTGGCAAAAAATTTCATGGTGTACAAAATTCATGATTTTGTGATCCATAAGACATTATTTTTGGTCATGTTTTAGTCATTTGGACCAATTACAAATAATTCTACGGTGACAAAAATTCTAGATTTTGTGATCTATAACCCATGATTTATGGTTATTTTTAGTCTGTTTGACTCATTGGCAAAAAATTTCACGGATCTAAATTCCATGATATCGTTAGCTATAACTCATGATTTTTAATCATTTTTAGTCATTTTGAACGATTGAATAATAATTTCGTTATGGCCAAACTTCATGATTTCGATAATCCACAAATTTTGGCCATTTTTAGTCGTTTTGACTCATGGGCAAATAATTTTGTGGTTGCTAAAATTCACAATTTTAGGATCTATAATCCATGATTTTTGGTAATTTTTAATTTTTTTGACCAAGTGGATAAATAATTTCCCCCGTGGCAAAATTTTAGATTTTGTGAACTATATAACCCATGATTTCTAGCCATTTTTAATCGTTTCGAGCCATTAGAAAATAGTTTTTGCGGAGTCCAAATTTTGTATTTTTATGAGCACCTACTTTTTTGTCCATTTTTTTCATTTTGAACCAAGGAAAACAATTTCATAGAGTCTAAAATTCACGATTTTGTGAGCCGTAATCCATGATTTTTTGGCCATTTTGAGTTATTTCAGCCAATTAAATAAATAATTTTGCGTTGACCAAAATTCATAATTTCGTAAGCCATAACACATATACTTTTGGCCTTTTTAGTTGTTTTGACCCATTGGTAAATATTTTTGAGGAGTTCAAAGTTTATATTTTCATGAGTTGTAGCATATGATTTTGTCAATTTTCGTTCATTTTGTCGTAAGGGAAAAAATTTCGCAGACTCCAACATTCACAATTCCATGAGCTATTTCCCATGATGTTTTGTAATTTTGTAGTTATTTCCACCTATAGGCACAGAATTTCGTAATGGTTAAAATTCACAATTTTATGAGCTAAATTATGAGCTATAACCCATAATTTTTAGTCGGATTTGATGTTTTAACCCATTGTTAAATAATTTTGTGGTTGCCAAAACTCATAATTTCATAAGTTATAACTCATAATTTTAAACATTTTTAGTCATTTCAACCAATTGGTTAAATAAGTTCACAGTGGCCAAAATTCTGGATTTCAATTGCAATAGGCCATGATGTTTTGCTATTTTTATCGTTTTGACCCATCAACAATAATCTGGGAGTCCAAGGTTCTTATATTCATGGGCTTTATTACCTATGATTTTTGTCCATTTCTGTTCATTTTAACCTAAAAGAAAAAATTTTGCAAAGTAAAAAATTCACGATTTCAAGGGCTAACACGCGAAGTTTGGCCATTTTTTGTTGTTTAGACAAACTGGATAAATAATTTTTTGGTGGTCAAAATTTATGATTTTGTGAGCTATAATCCACGATATTTGGTCTTTTTTAGTTATTTTGATCCATTGGCAAATAATTTCATGGATTCAAAAGTTATACTTTCATGAGCCACCCATGATTTTTATCAATTTTCTTTCATTATGACCCAAGGGAAATAATTTGGCAGAGTCCAAAATTAACGATTTCTTGACCTATAACTCATGATTTTTTTTGCTATTTTTAATCATTTCAATCCATTGACGAAAAAGAAGTTGCTATTGCCAAAGTTTAGGATTTCATGCACTATATCATATGATTTTAGTTATTTTTAATCATTTCGACCAATCGGATAAATAATTTCTTGGTGACCAAAATTTTAGATTTCATGAGCTATAACCTGTGACTTTTGGCCATTTTTAGTCAATTCAATCCACTGTCAAATAATTTTGATGAGTATAAAATTCATGTTTTCATGACCTATCACTAGTAGAAAAATGGGTATCCTTGACGGGCTTTCCCGTCAGGGATGCCAAATTTCCAGTCAGCAATACATATCCTTGACGGCTTCCCGTCAAGGATATGCCGTCAGGAAAAGTCCCGTCAGGGAAGAAACATCCCTTGAGGCAGCGCGTCAGTGATAAGCATCAAGCTGACGGAGCTGTATTTCGGCTGAGCGGTGGCGGAGGCCGTCAGGGATTGTTGAAACGTTCAAACATCCGCTGACGGCGAAGCCCGTGGGGATGTTTCAAGCATCCCCGACGGGCTTGCCGTCGGGATAAACATCCCCGCAGCGGCAAGCCCAGTTCAGGGAAATGTTTATATAAAAATTTACTGGGCTAGCACAACACAGTCAAGTCAGAGATTGGGAGACAAGACATCATATACATATATATAATCCGAGCAAAAAATAGAAGTAATTTCAGCGACTGATGATATAAGTTCCTTCGACATAAAACATAGACAAAGGATGACATATCTGTTGGCATTTTTGGCAACCAATAGTCTGAACATTGATACATGGGAACAATTGCAGACAACAAAGACAATTTTAGGAATTATAAGAGTCGCTGGCTCCTATTTCGGCAGCAGACTTCCAGAGTCTATGCAAAAAAAAAGATTATAAGATCTGGGGAGAGATTTCCTCACAACACATACATATATTCATAAATATATTGAATATTCCTTCACAGCCATAAACACGCTGAAAGCTAATTCTTTACGGTTGTGACCTGCCTCAAGAGCATATCACCCACATCGCGAGAGACACGTGATGATTGTTCCTTCAGCTGGAGGATTTTGCTCTCAGTTTCTTGTTCAAGGCGCTTCACATTAGCACCAGAATCACCGCTGCTCTGTTATACCAGTGAATAAGAAAAGGGTAAGAATGTGGACAAGCTAGCACATATAAGAGATAGCATGTAAGAAGACCACGCCGACGATATGGCATGTGAGAGAATAGAAAATGCTAAGACGAGATGAACTTGAAGGAATTGATCAAGTTGAAAAATTCAAGTGAGTGCAAATTCTGTCAAGAGTATTATAAATGAATACCAAAATTTGTAAAAAACAACAATTCATTTGTAAAAAACAGTCTAAGGTTGATATCTTGTGGAAGATTCTCATATACACTAAATCCTAATTACACTATGACCTGGCTCGACCATACAATGTATGTCAGTGGCGCACAAATTCAGTATGCAGTGAATGACCAGCCTGTAAATACAACGATCATGCTTATGTGAATTTGTTATTATTTGTTTTAAGGGAAATGCCAGAATATAAAGGGGGAAAAGAGACAGTGAAGTGCGCCTTTCCTGATTTGGACTTGCCGTTATATAGATTACTGTTATTTAATTTGTTAATAAGTACTATTAGGTTTGTTGTGCTATGAGAAAAGAAATATTGATGCAAAGATAAAATATTGATGGAAAGACAGGAAAGAAAACATAACAAGATGACAATGAATCATCGTATTTTGCAGGTAACATATTATCTTTTTCCAACAAGATAAAGCCCAATGACATATGAAATAAATAATATTGTTAGCGCTAAAGCGACATTTATGAGACAACCACCAATAACTGAAGCAACAGTAAATGTAGCAAAGGCTATTGCACCTGCAAACCATTGCATTTTCCAGTGATCCCCCTTGAATGAGACCAGCTTTGTGCATCATTTCGACCTGTAAACAAGTCGACTCCATAATGAGGTTTGTAAATATATGTAAGATAAAAACAATCCAATTACAAAAAAGACCACTCTCACATGCTTCAATACATTCTAGAGGCTTCGTCACATAAATAGCAACTCAACCTTAAAAAAAGAAGAGAAAGCTCTTTGATACCTCTACATCCAAAACTGTATTTCAATGGAAGATAGGGGCATGGTGGAGGTGGCAACATATTTTATGTCCAAGTGATGGCTCAAAGGTAGACTAAATGTATCCAGCTTTGAAGTGGCAGTTTACAACTCTATCCTGAATAGCCATGAGCCCGTTCTTCCACTCGAGGAGCCTCAATTTATCCAAGCCTATTAGTAGCACCAACTGCCTTTATCTTGAACTTATCAATGTGTTATAGGTTACAGATTAAAACTTTTATCTTATAACAACATTTGAGATTAACATAATTAAAGTAGTAAAGCCAAAAATACATTATAACTAGAAGAAATTGTATATAAACCTCTTCATAAATGCAGAAGGTTCTTGAAGGAGCTATTTCCTTGGAGTAAATTGCATCATCCGTGAAACATGAATACCACTGACATCCAAAGTGACCTCCATAAATGCTAAAGTTGATTATTCCAACACAATCATACATCCATACACTGCCTGCTTGCACCTCGCCCTCCCGTCCCAGAATTCACCCAGCAACGACAAGATACAAACACAGGCACTCACACACAAGTACACTCACCCGCAGACACTAACACCTCTTTGTCCCACATGCTAGAGAATGTTTTCCATTTCTGGCTTAAGCTCACAACTTAGTATCATTTCATTACAACTTTTAGGTATTAGCCCCTCATAAGTTAGTGACTGTCAATTTCTTTCAAATGGATTTGAAATCTTAGAAGCCTACTGAATGAAATCTTTGTATACAACACCAACATAAGGTGATATATAGACCAAGCAATATTGAAAAAGACCCTACTTTTTTGGTTCAAATTCTTACCTCTTCATGAACCTGTTCGGTTGAACCGCGGCGAGTCCGGCGAGAAATCACTGCGAGTCTGAGCGGTTCGGTGCCGCCGTGAGCGACGAAGTGGAGACTGGGGTTCGGGGCCTCGACGCGCCGGGGGTGGAGTCGGAGAGGAGCGGGAGGTGATGGCAATAGCGAACCGAGATTTGGAGAGAGGAGATTTGGGGATTTGGAAAGCTGGAGAGAGGAGATTTGGAGAGCGGAGGTCGAACTGGAGGCGGAGGTCGTTTTGGGGGTAGGGTTCGTGTAGAGGGAGAGAGGAAATTTGGGAGCGGATCAAGAGGTTTTGGGGGAGGCGAAGCTGAGGGCAGGGGGTTTCTTCCATGGGAAATCCGAACTGAGAGAGGCGGACCCGAATTTCAGGAGCAAAAATGAAATTTTTGGAGGGATAAATCCCCACAAAAAATAATTCAACATCGCTGACGGCACCCCGTCAGCGATGTTAGACCTCCCATCAGCAATGTAAACATCGCTGACGGGAAATTTCCATTACCGACGGCCACATCCTTGACGGCTATTCCCGTCAGGGATATAAACAACGCCGACGGCATTCTCCCGTCAGGGATGTTGCCGTCAGCAATACTACGAATTCTACTAGTGTATAATCTTGAATTTTGTTCGTTTTCGTTCATATCAAACGAAAGAATTTCTTTTGCAGAGTCTAAAATTCACAATTTCATGAGCTATATAATCTACAAAATTTAGCTATTTTTAGTCATTTCCACCCAATGATAAATAATTTCATGATATTCAAAATTCACGCTACAATTTTTTGGCCATTTTTAGTCATTTCAACCATTCCGCAAATAATTTCATGTTAATTCACATTCCATGAGCTATAATCTATGATTTTTGGACTTTTTTAGTCATTTCAATCCATTTGTAAATAATATTGCGGAGTAAAAAAATCATGTTTTCATGAGCTATAACCTACGAGATTTTTCAAATTTTCTTTCATTTCAACATAAGAGAATTTTTTTTGTAGAGTCCAAAATTCATGATTCATGACATTTAACCCACACAAGTTTTACCATTTTTAATTATTTCATCACATTGGTAGAAAATTTGCGGAGGCCATAGTTCACGATTTTGTGAACTATAACTCATAATTTTTGGTCATTTGGTCTTTTAGACTAATTGCATAAATAATTTCACAGGATCCCAAATTTATGATTTTGTGAGCAATAACTCATGATTTTTAGCCATTTTTTATCATTTCAACCAATTGGATAAATAATTTTACGATGGCTGAAATTCTAGATTTCGTAAGCTATAACTCCTGATTTTTTGGTATTTTCTAGTCATTTCGACCAATTAGCAAAAAATTTCACGGACTCCAAATTTCATGATTTTGTGATCTATAACATAGGTTTTTTTGGCTAAGTTAATTGTCTCAACCAATTGGATAAATAGTTTTATAGTGCCCAAAGTTCAAGATTTCTTGAGCTATAACCCTTGACTTTGACCATTATCAGTCATTTTGACCTATTGACAAATCATTTTGTAGTGGTCAAATTCACGATTTCTTGAGCTATAACCTATAATTTTTGGGTGTTTAAATCATTTCAACCAATTGGATGAAAAATTTTGCGGTAGCCAAAATTCTAGATTTCGTGAGCTATAATTCATGATTTTCTACTATTTTTAGTCATTTTGACCCATTAGCAAATAATTTTGTGATGGTTGAAATTCATGACTTCATGAGCTATAACCCATGATTTTTAACCATTTTAAATCGCTTTGACCCAATGACAAATAATTTCGTGGAGTCCAAAATTCATGATTTCATATCTATAGCCACATTTATTTGTCATATTTAGTCATTTCGATCCATTTGGTAAAAGGTTTTGCGGAGTCCAAAATTTACGATTTCGTAAGCTAGAAACTATTATATTTGGCAATTTTTAATTATTTTGACCAATTGAATAAATAATTTTGCAGTGGTAAAAATTCTAGATTTCGTGAGCTATTACCCACAAATTTTGGTCATTTTTAGTTATTTTGACCAATTGGTAAATAATTTCATAGTGGCTAAATTTCACAATTTTGTGAGCTATAGCCCATTGTTTTTGGTTATTTTTAATTGTTTCGACCCACTACAAAATAATTCATGGAGTCCAAAATTTACCATTTTATGAGCTATAACTCACAAAATTTTTCCATATTTATTCATTTCGACCCATTGGCAAAAATTTTATGGAGTCCAAAATTCATGATTTCGTGAGCAATAACCCATGATTTTTGTACTCTTTTAATGAGTCTCTATTATACACATTTATCTATTATACGCATTCTCTATTATACGTCCATGGTCCTCTCCTTCTTCCCGAATTATGTGAATCGCATCCCTAACTTATGATAATAGCTAATGCATATAGTGTAGGTATATAATATATCTTTTAAACAGGGCATCCCAACCAATTTTTACTTCAAAAAAAAATAATGTTAATAACAACCCATGATTTTTTGCTATTTTTAGTTGATTCGATCAATTGGATAAATAATTTCATAGTGGCCAAACTTCTAGATTTCATTCTCTATAACCCACTATTTTTGGTCATTTTTAGGTATTTTGACCTATTAGCAAATAATGTTACAGTGGCCATAAATCATGTTTTCTTGAGCTATAAGCCTCGATTTTTTGCCATTTTTAATCATTTTGATCCATTGATAAAATTTTTCATTAAGTATAAAATTCATGATTTTATGAGCTAAAACTTACGATTATTGCCCATTCTTAGTCATTTCGACCCACTTGTAAAAACTTTTGTGGAGTCCAAAATTCACAATTTCATGATCTATAAATCTTTTTTTTGGCTATTTTTAGTTATTTAGACCAATTGGATAAATAATTTTACAGTGATTAAAATTTGAGATTTTGTGAGCTATAACCCACAAATTTCGGTCAATTTTAGTCATTTTGACCCATTAACAAAAAATTTCATAAATCTAAATTTCACAATTTTGTGTGATATAACTCATGAGTTTTTGCCATTTTTAGTCATTTTGATTTGACTAATTGGATAAATAATTTTATGATGGAAAAAATTCTAGATTTCATGAGATATATAACCCATGACTTTTAGTTATTTGGCCATTTTTAGTCGTTTCGACCCACTGGTAAATAATTTCGCAGTGGAAAAAGTTCTAGATTTCGTGAGATATATAACCCATGATTTTTAGCCATTTGGCCATTTTTAGTCATTTTGACCCATTGGTAAATAATTTCGCGGTAGTTAAGTTTCAAAATTTTGTGAGCTGTAATCTATGATTTTTGGCTATTTTTAGTTATTTTGAATAATTAGATAAATAATTTTATGGTGGCCAAAATTCTAGATTTTATGAGCTATAATCCATATTTTTTGGCAATTTTTAGTCATTTAGACCTATTGGTAAATTAATGGAATCAAAGTTCATGTTTCCATGAGCTATAAGTCATGATTTTTCTCTATTTTATTCCATTCCATTCGACACAAGGAAATTTTTTTGTAGAGTCCAAAATTTACAATTTCATGAGCACCCTTATTTTTTGTCCATTTTGAGTAGTTTTGACCAATTGAATAAACAATTTGTGATGGTCAAAATTGATGACTTCGTGAGCTATAACCTACAATTTTTGCCCTTTTTAGTTATTTCAACCAATTGACAAATAATTCCATGGAGTTAAAAAATTATGTTTTCATGAGCTATAATCCATGATTTTATTAATATTCATTAATTACTCATGATATAATATTTTGTAGAGTCCAAAATTCATGATTTCAAGAGGTATAACACACGATTTTTTTGTCATTTTTAGTCATATTGACTAATTGGCAAAATGTTTTACAATGGCCATAATTTATGATTTCGTGAGCTAAATCATGAGCTATAACCTATGATTTTTGACTATTTTTAGTCATTTCGACCCATTGATGAATAATTTCTTGGTTGATAAAATTCATAATTTCGTGAGTTATAACATATTATTTTTGGCTATTTTTAATCATTTCTACCAATTGGATAAATAAGTTCATGGTGGCCAAAATGCTAGATTTCGTAAGCAATAACTCATAATTTTTGATTATTTTTAGTCATTTCGATGTACTGGTAAATATGAGAATCTAAAATTCATATTTTCATGAGCTATAACCAATGTTCTTTGTCCAGTAGCATTCGTTTCGACCCAAAGGAAAAAAATTTGCAGAGTCTAAAATT